AACCGTATAACTGGGAAGTTGATCCCTGGCTGAGGTCTTTACTCGTTTTTCGTTTGTTAATACGCCGGATTTAACTCCTTGTAAGGTTTCGTCAAATTCTGGCTTTAACAGCGTTGGCAATCCATCTGGTCCTAAAAGCTCAGGGTATGCGTGAACTTTTATGGTAATTGACAGGAAAAAAAATCGCGGTGAAAAACAATATGAAATGGAAAATCGATCGAAGTACCTTTAGGTAAAAAAATTATTCAGAATAGAATTGAGAAAAATATTGCAATGTTATAAAATCTTGAATCATTGCGAAATCGAATTCACGGCCAGTTGAATATTCAATAAAAAAAGGAATTGTGTAATTGCCTTTTTTCACGCTTTGTAGCACAATTCAGCCGAATGTAACAAAATGGTTTTTATTTTGTTTCTGGATATAGAGACTTTATTAGGCGTCACTTCTTCTTTTTCTTCCGCCCATAGTAACAATCCCACTCCTTTTGTACGAACGTACAGCAGTAATCGCCAAACTTAGTAGGTAACTCGCAAAACTTTTCTTTATTACAACACTTTTTTCCCATACATCAATGTAGTATTTCAAATAAATCGCCGTGTGGTGGCGACTCCTCACAACTGTGGTAAAAGTCCATAATGATAACCATTTTACCGTTTATTAGCGATACAGTGAAATATTTTTATAAGACCAAAGTGACAAACGAACTTACAGTCCACCTGATGGCAAGTGACTGCTGCAGTCCAGAGACAGAGACACCTGCAGGCAACTTCGAACAAAGATTGTTACCTGATGCGTTGTCAGCTCTGTGGACTGAGATAGAACGCTTCGCAGATTGCAATTATACCGACTCTCTCAGCCCGTCAGAGCGGAAGACAGCAAGCACCGCTATTTGGTGACAGAACGAAGTAAGAAGGTGGTGCCCACACAGTTGGAATCCCAGGCAGGAGATGGATACTACCACCAGTAAAGATTCGACGTGATAACAAATTAAGTTCAAGCTCATATTGTTTCAGCATTCACTATCGGAGTTTCTATGAAATGATATTATATTTATGGAGTCAGTTTATTTATAGATAGAATTAGTTTAGTACAATTTCGAATAAATGTCTTTTTAAATAAGCGCTATGAAAAATACATACTGTATGTCGAGATAAAAAGAACATTAGTATTCAAAACTTCGAAAAAGGTTAAAAATTATGATCATAGCAGAAAATGCGTTGTTAAATAAAATATGTAATAAAATTATAAAAACAATTAATAATGAAATTTATTGGTAAAATAATAAATTAATTCTGCTGTGTTTCATATGGTACGGGAGACACTTTTCAATGAAAACAAGGTATTCCATCTTAATTTCAGGGGTGACAACGTATCTGCATTTTGGCTCATAATCGAGGATGGATGCAAATGTCTATTATCCACAGCATGCACTTACCATTTGATTTAGTATGTGTTTCATGTTTTAAACATATAAATGTAAAGTAATAATTGTAATCAAAGTAAATTGTTTCAAATATTTTCAAACTAATAATGAAATTGCAATTTAAAAAAAAATCCGTTTCCGGAACCTTTATCTTACTCAGTGAATAGCCTTCGAAACACATTTAAGTTCACTAATAAAATGTAGATACTTTTCCCACTTTTACAGTTTGAATGTAGGCTAAAGTTAAATTGGATATTTGAAAACAACTCCTTTCTTGTTAATGAGGTTCTTAGAATGTGTATGTTATTTAACGTGCACGTGTGTGAATCACCGCCAACTCCCTGACTCCGGACTGCTACTGAGAATTTCTTGGCAGAAAAATTCTATAACTGATTTTGTCCCGGCCCGGAGTTCGAACCTGAGACCTCGTGATCAGTAATCGTGTTTATAACCACTAGACCAACGAGTCAGTCAAGAAACAATCCAATAATGGATTGATGATCGCAGCACCAGACGTGTCGCAACTGTGACGCTGCTCACCGCAGCTGCTCTGGGTACTTCATGCTTGGTGCAAACGAGTTGGTTATTACACCACTTACATTTTCTGGCATATCATCTGACACTTACGACACTGATGAAATATCATATGCCGCTGCCACGTGGCAATGTTACTTTATTGTATATAATACAGAAATATTACCTTCATGCTCAACAAGTCTTAAGCTTAAACATTTACTTTTACTAGAAAATACTATAAAACATGCTACCTATGCTTCAAATCTAGAGTAATCGATAAAAGTCTAATGAAAAATTAACAATAAATTCTACATCGAACTAAGCACTGGTGTTTTGTAGCATTAATGCAATGGTAAATAAACTCAGAACACTTTGTAATACATAAGACAGCCAAACTGTCTTTATCAAGTCAAATAAACGTAAATTAAATTCCAGTCTGCAAAAATAATACCGTCAGCTTAATTCCTGAATGTAATGAAACAATCGGGACTCTTGTCAAAAAAAATTGAATTATTACACGAAACGGGTCACAAAAGGACATTGTTTCTTACGATTTCTTGAATGTTTAAATGATTAAATTACATTAATTATTTTAAAATATATCGATATCAAAGTAAATTTTTGATCAAAACATTGCACGAAATCTAAACGTGGTGCGGGAGTCTTGTTCTCAGCGTAGAAGTCAGTATGGGCTGTAGTGGATATATTGAAACTTTGAACATGTAAATGCAGCTATAATTTGGTTATACTCCTAGCACGAATTGGTCGGCTCAATGGGTCAGATCGGCTGCTGTATTTCGTATGGTGATTGTACAGAACCGAAGACCCTTTTTACTGGAAACGAGGCATTTCATCTTAATATCATCAATCATCCTGCTGGTAGTGTAAAATTAAAACTACGAAATTCGAGTGCTGTTGATGTAACGATGCATATTTTTGTTTTTCGGTTTTGAGCATTTGTATCGCTTCAAACGCACGTCACAACAGACATAAACGCGAGTAAATAGAGCATGAGATACACGTTTAATTGTGGTAGTTGGCAGTCGTTTGTATGCATCTAAGAGATTTAAAATATTTACTACTACTTTAATGTCTTTGGTATGCACCGCAAGCGCTTGGCGTTTTGTTACCTCATTGAGTAAAGAAGTAAAAGTAAAGTAAAAGTTAAATATACTTTATTGTACACCAAGGAACATATTACAGTATTTATATATTTAAAGGGACATTGGTACAACAGGCGACCTTATCGCTAAAACAGGCAACCTTAGGGCAGAGGATACTATTTTTAAAAGATAGCGGAAGGGGTGTACAGAATATAATATAGAAAGGTAAAGAGAATAACATAAGTGATTAAAGGAAAAGAAAAGAAAAAGTGAATGACGACAGGTAGTAACTTAAGAGTAAAGGTAATAAAGTTTTAATTTATTTTTAAATATAGGAAGAGATTTAGATTCTTTAATATGTAAGGGGAGATAATTCCATAGTCGTATAGTGGTAAAGGTAAAAAAATTAGAATAGAAGGAAGAGGAATGTCTAGGAAGAAGTATAGATGAAGCGCTCAGTAATATCCTACAGCCTTTAAATGTTACATTTTATTTACTTTAAAGTTTTTAATAAATAATAAGTTTACAGCTCTGCAATAACATCGTTGCACAATATCTTAGATCGATATTAAGGCGCGTTTTAATTAATGGAAATACACCACTAAATTTAAAATGAAAAATTAGGCACGCAAAGGTCCTTAACACGATAAACGTCCGTTGATTAAAACTATAAAAAGTAAAGAAAATCGCTACTTTTCTATATTTTCAAATCCACGTGAAAACATAGGCTATGCTGGTTTCTCTAACCACTTTCGATCAGGTGAACCGTTAGCTCATTTAACACTCCGTTATTATAAAAAAGTAACATCCTTTTTTAATTTATAATAATGAGTGATGGATGTATTTTGCTCTGGACCGTGGTTAGTGGCAATTCTTGGGGGTGGCCTATATTTAGCAGTAGACTTGTGATGAGCTGTAATGGTGATGATAATGATTATTTACTATTAAGTAAACTACGTGACTGTTTGTTAGCCTTACTTGTATAAATAAAACAAGATTGATATATAATAAAATAGAGACATTGAGTTTAGGTATAGTTAAACAACATCGTCAGACCCTCACAGCTAAACAAGTAATGCTACAAAACACGGTAAATAATCAATCAATCAATCCTAAATCAATCGATTTCGTCGTCACTCCGCTTAGCGGGGAGCCCCCCGCTTGCCGGTACGAGGTTGTCACTTTAGAACCTTCCTTGTGGTCCATTGCTGCTTCAGTTTGTTGAACTGTTTCTATAACGAAGAGAAACCAGCATAGCCTCCTCCATAGCTCGCTACCTTAGGCTTCCCCATACGAGGGAGATTAAGTGACACATCTTGTCAAGTATTCCTCAAACAACCAATGCGTGTTGCCAGTGATGACAAATGAAACTAAGCTAGAACTAGCTTATTTTAAAATTTTGAATAATTCATACCTTTTTTGTACATCTAATACTCCGAAGACACAACTATCTTACACATTCTTGTTATTTTAATTTAACATATTATTTTCCTCTATTGTTTCAATTAACCCTTTGTCTAGTAGAGGCATTATATTTGCCGACATGTTTTCGTAGCTCTACTAAAAGAAGATTTGTATTAACGAAACGTTTCATCATTTCGGGCAATAGACAACAAACTAGTACGATGGAAAAAAAAATAATTGGTAACATTCATTTGACATTTGTCAAATATATGTCAAGTTAGTTAGAATTTGTGGCATTTTCGATTCTCGAGAGTAATCCGGCTCAATCTCTACAAAAAACTGTTATTTTGGTAAGTTTTTTTTTAATAATCGTTAGATTTGTGTTTTTATGTCAATCTTGGATAATTATTTTAGATCAATATTCAATATTATTATAGAAATCGGGAAATATCAAGTCGGCAGTATATTTGCCACTACCAGTTAGTACATTACCTGTTGATGGCAATATATATGCCAGTACCAGTGAGATTTATTTTTATTTACAGAATAAAATATGGAGCACCGTCGTCGGTCGATAAACGATCGCGAAATTGAGTTGCAGTTGGAAGCCATGTTTGGCCTTTCAGATGGTACAGATTCAGAAGACAGTTTGGAAGATTCCGATACTGATGACATTGAACAATTGCTTTCGCCTAACAACGATTCCTCTTTTCAACCTTGCATTGAACCAGACTTTGCAGACTCTTTGTTGACAGCTAGAAGTAGTAGAAGACACGGAAAACATGGGCCAGAACAGGCAACGGATGAATGGGAAGAAGATGACGACCATGAGATTGAAGACGAAATAGGTACAGAAAGCAACAACAGAAGAGAGAATATTCGGAATGAGACAAGTGAAGGGACAACAGATTGTGAAAGTGATAATGAAGTGGGAGGAGCAGGAAACGTTAGAGTACTGCGTGCTTCAACATCTAGCGCCACCACTGCACGACCCTTTGATTCCACATCAATCAATACACGAGATGCAGAGGTGACTGCACCCACCGCCTTGGTTTCAGAAGAATCAGATTCCGATGAAGAAGAAATAGAATGGAAGAAAGTTGATTGGACAAATGATCCGAACGTGCCTTCCTTCGATGAAGACGAACTTCAATCGCAGAACCATTTTCCGAGTAGATCTAGAACAATCGCTTACTTCGAAGTATTTTTTGATAATGATGTGATTGAAAACCTACTTGTTCAATCAAACTTGTTTGCTCGTCAATCAAATGTTAGAAATTTTACTCAAATTACTAAAGACGAACTCAAAGCATATCTTGGAATGCTAATACAAATGGGGATACACAAACTACCGTCAATTGAAGATTACTGGTCTAGCAATCCAGCATTATGTGTCGTGAGATTGCTGAAACCATGACGCTCCAAAGATTTCAAAAGATTTCTAGATGTCTACATGTAAATGACAACGAACAGATGCCCAGAAGAGGTGAAACAGGTTTCGACAAACTTTATAAAATTCGCCCACTACTAGATCAAATAAACCAGAGGTGTCAAAATAATGCCCGAAATACAAGATCTCAGTCCATTGACGAATCAATGGTAAAGTTCAAGGGACGCAGTACGCTAAAACAGTATATGCCCCTCAAACCTGTCAAGCGCGGTTACAAAATTTGGGCTAGAGCAGATAGCAAAACTGGGTATTTGTTTCACTTCCAAGTCTGTACTGGTAAAGGAGACAATGTGGAAACTGGTCTAGGAAGTAGTGTGGTAAAAACTCTAGCTCAACCACTTATCGATGAAGGTTGCTCAGCTCATATTAGCTTTGACAACTTTTTTAGTAGTTATGACCTTCTTCAATATTTATACGACCATGGCATATACAGTACAGCAACAGCGAGAAATGACAGATTGGGAATGCCTGTTTTAGTAAAGAAACCTACTGGTCTAAGAAATTGCGGCGAAATCATGAAGAGGCAAAATAAAAAACTGAAACAACTACAAAAAGGGCAGTATAAGTGGCGAGTTCGGAACAACGTAGGATTTTCGATCTGGAAGGACACAAAATTAGTAACCATTATGAGTACAGCCTTTCACCCGAAAGAAGAGGCTACATGTCAACGTACACAAAAGGATGGAAGCAAAAGACCTTTTCCCTGTCCACGCTCAGTTGTAGAGTACTCGAAGCGAATGGGCGGAGTTGATAAATTTGATCAGCAAAAAGCCACTTATGATGTCGCTCGTCGAAGCAAAAAATGGTGGAAGCGGTTATTTTTTTTCTTGTTCGATGTAGCAATCACAAATGCTCATATATTGTACTCAAAGAATTCAAGAGTACACAATCCCATGAGCCAAAAGATGTTCAGGCTTACTCTTGCCAGAGAACTAGTAAACAATTTGACATTTCGGAAACGAAAATTTTCAACTGCTCCTAAATTCTTAGCAAAGAAAAGGAAGGCTAGTGCAGAGGTACCTACTCACTCGACAGAAGAAACTTTTTGGTGTACCTGAAGATATTCGTTTCGCCAATGTTGGTGAGCACTTACCAGAAGGCATAGAAACATACAGGCGCTGCCGAGTATGCAGCAGCGCAACTAAGAACAAAAGATCCAACATACAATGTGACAAATGTGAAGTGCCTCTTTGTGCTGTTCCATATTTCAAACAATTTCACATATGTGCTGACCAGTAGTGGCAATTATATAGCCAACATAGTTTTTTTTTAAAAAAAAATAAAAAAATAACTTTTTCCTTTTTACAATAATATATCTGAGTTTCATTACAATTGCATGGCTAGTTTCCTCTACCAGTTAAAGCACAAAAAAAGCAAAGATAAAACAATAGGAAATACCGAATACGTCACAGGTATAACAGAACAAGGGCATTTTTAATACATAATTTCCTTTTATTTTGCAATACAAGATATATAGTGTTGGAAAGCGGCCAACGCATGCCTCCATCTTCAATCAGCAGATATATTCGCTACTCGCCAGCTCTAGCGCTATAAAACTTCATTCTACTGCTTCTATGACATTTTTAAATTGAAACATTTTACCATATGCATATTTATAACCTTATGGAAAAGGTTCAAATATGTAACATAAAGCGTCTATACCCCGAGGATAAAAACGCCCTAGTGGTGTATTGAAATACTATTTCCACTGATTAGAATGTACTTATTAAAAAATACATTTTTAGGATAAGTTATAATGTTGAGACTACTAATGACTATACGTGGATCTTCTTTTCAGTTTTATAAAACTGACGTATCGAACAAACTAACGGTCCAGCGGCTACGACCGGTAAGCCGCTACTTCAGTTCATGGACACCTGCAGACAACTTAAACAAAGGAGCCTACAGATGCGTTGTCACCCGTGAGGTCTAAGATGTGATACCTCACTGTCTGTACTTAATACTGGCTTTATACTCTTTAGACCGGATTACAGTAGTGCAAGCATTGCTATTTGGCGGCAGAAATAGGAAGGAGGTACTTACGTAGACGAAATCCTGGACTAAAAAAAGTCCTACCACCTGCAATCTTAGCGCATCTTATAAGCTTTCAAGTAACATAAAGTGATCTGCGTAGAAACGCTTAGTTGAGACATTAATGAGACGTATAAGGTAGATTACACAGACGAGCACTTCATAGTGCACCTCCTGTCTTATAATACAAGCGAAGTATTTGCATAACATTTAGATTGTCTTTTATGCTGTTCATCATCTTAGCATCGTCTATAACCATAAAAATAGAACTGATTCCCTTCAAAGTATCGACGACTTAATCGCCTAACTCCTAACTTTACTCGAGGTACTTTAACCAATGAATTTGTCGCTGGCTGATTAAGCTAGTAGGATTCATTTGCTGCCAAGGAGTCCATCTGGGTAAGTAATTCTCTATTAAATATTTCTGCTGCTAAACTGCATTGCCTGCACAGTCTTGTCCCAGGCTGACTGCCATAGAGAGTCACTATAATCACAGGCATTCGACCTGAGTCCTCAGAGGTGACAACGTATTTGTAGCCTTCATTGTTTGAAGTTGGTTGCAAGCGTCCATGGACTGCAGTAGCCACTTACCATCTGATGAATTATAAATTAGTTTTTGCTAAAAAAAACTAATAAATCCCTTTATGCCTTCTTAATGTAAGTGTAAAATATTAGAATAATGGGTGATTGGCATATTAGAATAACGGGTAAAAGGCTTAACTCTTGCACACTGTGTTTGATTGATGTCTTTCCATGAGTCTTTACACTTAAGACATTCACTATGTAATTACCATTCATGCACTTTCTCCCTCACCACCTCTTTAACTGGCCAATCTTAATTGTCTCCTTTCTACTACACTACTGATGCTACTATGGGTAAGAAGATTTCCACTGTTCGTTTAGCTGGCATGACACACACGCGTTTTGTTCTGCACCTTAATGGCGGCCGCATTAAGTAAGCCGAACGTACCGGTACGCATCTCATGCTCTGCGAAACGCTCTCCACTGAAGCTTTAGACTAAGAAATCATATTAATTTAACAGAACTCACTAGATCTCATCACAAGTTCACAAATTACGATTTAGAGTCATCTTGCATTCATCTACTACCTGCTCTACTCGTATACGTATTATTTTATTCATATTTTCGGGTAGGTTACTTTTTGTTTTCACTCTACCGTAAATATTAAAAGTTTGCAAAGATGAGTAGAACTCGTTAACGTTAGCCTATTTAATAATAAATAAATTTGGCACGGAACGGCATTTAATGATGTTCCTACTGACTGAAGATGAACGCACGAGTTTTTGTTCCGGAACCACACTGTACCTGAAAGCTGCGTAGCTACCACGTGTATCATCTTGGGTACAGATAGATGTTCTATTACAGTTTCGTTCCAGCCTATCAAAAGACTACTGATGAACGTAGCCCCCCCACTCGCCCCCCCCCCCCCCCCATTGATTTTTCCTATGTTCGCCATAGTTGCATCTTTGTTTTCGTTAGTAGTGAATATTCTTGCACCGACACTACGTGGTGAAGCTAATGTATTAATGTTCTGTTGTATTAAAATAGTGCAAAATACTAAAAATGGCAGTATACTGAATAGAATTACTTGTCAGTCGCTAGTTGTAGATCTTGTAGGTCTTTTATATTATGCATTCTGTATTTCGTCACTGAGAAATTTTATAATGTCAGCGGCACGCTGTCTGGGCCCTAACGGATTTCATAAATATAAAGTCAAACGGAAAGGGATTTACAAAATGCTGGACCATCTGGATAGTAAGAGCTAAACTTACTATTACAGTAGTTTTCCAATAGCGATACATGTTACGGATTCGTTGAAGAATTCAGACGAAACGCAGTATTTCTTTCTGTATTAGGTCCATCCGTCCATCCGTCCACCCAACCGTCATCTTGTTCATTAACAGTGTGCATGAAAATTGCCGAATATTATAGTGCTTACGCCACAGGATATTTAGAATTAAATTGTATTTAATAAAAGTGTCGTTTAAAATATATTAATTTTCATGCTTAACTAACAAATTATAGTTCTCGAAATAAATGTGTTGATTTGAATATTATTAATAATTTTGCGCTACGGTAGTGAAATAAGTTACCGGAATTGATGATGTAAGCGCGGAGAGAATATATTAAGCAATGGAAACGTGTGCTGAGGGTGGTTGCTTTCCAGCTATCATAAATCTTGCATTTCGAAGTTCGAGATAGATAGTTTATAAAGCAAGTTGATGTTTATGAGTTTTACAGCTATTGCGCGGGGTTGAGGTTGTACGTGGCATGCAAAGTTACGTCGGAGTCTACTTAAAAAATGTGTCGAGTGTCAAGTGTACAAGCATAAAAAACTACAGGACTTAGAGGACAGAAGTCTGACCTGTCCTCGGGCAGCTCTTCCAACATTTAACCGCGGATCTTTCCAACCGCTAAAGACCCTTCTGGCGAAAGGAACATTCTGCTAGCAAGTGGGTTGAGGTTCGTGCAATCGTGGAAACAATAGCAAAAGGCGATCGTGAAAATTTCTAAAACACTAGTTCCTTACAAATACTCAAATAATGGCAACAATGATGTTTAGTTCAGTTCCAACTGAGGTAAAATGTGATATTTCAGGCACAAATACACGATTTAAAAAATATAGTAACAAATGCAAGTTTGAAAGTTTACAATATTGTAATTCCTGAAGGATGAAAACATCAGATGTTATGAACTAAATGGAAATGAAAACCACGCTTTACTGCATTCTAATGCAATCATTTCAATTTCTCAGTTTTGCTTTAAATTAAATATAGATAAAGATTATGTAATTTTTTCCTTGTAATGGACCATTCATATGTAAATCATATGAATGGTCCGTTACAAGGAATCTAAAGAGGCAGGAAAAACGAACAACTCGAAGCGGCCTCCTCGTGGCAAACAATATAGCAAGC